GCCACGTGGAGCCCAATCTGTCCCGGTTTGGGCTTTAGTACCGACCCTTTAGTCCCGGTTCGGGAACCGGGACAAATGGGCCTCTGGAACCGAGACAAATGGGCCTTTTTCTACTAGTGGGGTGAGGTTCCTTCATTTAAGATCAAGTATGATAAGGTACGGTCAACAGGTTGTATGGATTAAACTATTATATTTCTGCTGAGTTGGATGAGAGAGAAAGGATGGAGTTGTAGCACGAGCTCCAAGAAGCATCCTGAGAGTGCAATGTGTGCCATGTATTAATAAAGTAGTACTTCTTACTCCCTCCAGTCCGTTTTACTCTGCGTATTATATTTTTGTCAAGTCAAACTTTATAAAGTTTGACCAAATTTATATTTAAAATATTAACATCTACAATGCAAAATATATATACTATGAAACTACATTTCACAGTGAATCTAACAATATTGATTTGGCATTGTGAATGTTGATGCTTTTTTCTATAAGGTTGGTCAAAGTAGAGATATTTTGATGTTGGACAAAACTTATATGCAGACTAAAAAAGACCGGAGGGAGTAATAACTAGCTACTATATGTGTCGGCTATTAGGTTGACTATATGTGATGTGGCAACTCTATATAGCTGGTAGTTGGCTATACTATTAACCATGCTCTGTGTTTTGGATAGGTTCGCGCACTTGTCATTGTTTCTTCCCGATGTCACTAAAGTGCTCTCTCTTCTTTTTTAATTGCTTTGTCATGTCATTTTTCTGCTTATGTGACATGCTTAACACCTGTATACCATGGAGCACTAGGAAGGGCCTAAGCTACAATCCCTCTCTCCCTCTTCATCAGCTGCTATGACACATCAAAAATATATCTATGAAACTGCGCTAAGAAATCTACAAAAGGAGAGCCCTTACTAGCTACCAATCTATAAATAAATAGATCAAATGGAATTTACTTCTAACACAATTTGAGCGTAGTAAAAGATCATGCCTTGTGAGGCCCACTTAGCTATAGTTACTCAAATGTAAATTAAGTGCCGTGGTTTTAGTTCAAATTTAAACTAAACCACGACACCTCTTTTCAATCGGAGTGATAAAAAAATTTGTAGGCAGTTGTGAGATACGGACGCATACGCGGAAATGGATTTATGGAAGGGTCTGCCCTGTAAGAGGCCGTACGTGTAGCATTTTTTGCACCTCACAGCCATACAATTTCCAGGCAATGGTTCGACTGGTCCATGTGGACAATTGAGCCAACCTGTTCACACGTCACTTACTTCGAGGGATTTTTCTTTTTTCTTTTGAGAATCTTTTACCTCTTTATTTTAGGGGATTTGAGGCCTTCTTTGGTTCATAGGGTAGGAAAATTGTAGGAATAAGAAAGTCATAGGAAATGAGATGACATGTATCTCAAATCCTATGAGTAGAAATAGGAAAGGAGATGCCCTTTGATTCACATCATAGGATTTTTTCCATTGAGTCTAGGCTAATGTTTATTTTCCTATGAACTGTGAAGGATAGAAAGAATTCCTCCATAGGAATAGGATTCCATTCCTACAAATCAAAGTGCTCTAAAGGAATTTTTTCTATAGAAATCCTATCCTATGAAATTCTTATAAGATTCCTCTAAACCAAAGGAGGCCTGAGAATCTTACTTGATGAGTTAGAAACCTCCAATAGGCACACCGACAACGAACGCTTGGTTTTATGAAGTCCACGTTCTCGCCAGAGCCGCCCGCAGACTTCTCCGGTCGTGGTTCTCTCTTCCTCCCCCAGTTCACACCCAGGTGAGGCAGTCGCTGCTGAGGATCAGATCTGCTCGCCTTAGCACAGCGGTGGCCGCGGCGTGGTAGTTGGATTGAGCGTCGTTGCGTCTCCGCCTTCGGTGACTCGTCGCGAATACCGATGGCCGGGGTACTGGTGCATGCCTCCATGGTGGGGTTCAGGCCGATCCTCGGGAAGCTGGCGGACCTCCTCGGCGGCGAATACAATCTGCTACCCGGGTCCGCCGGGAGATCACCTTCCTCCACCGCGAGCTCAGCAGCATGGACGCGCTGCTCAGGACGCTCGCGGACAACACAGAGATCGACGCACAGACCTCGGAGCGCGGGAGCAGGGTGAGGGACCTGTCCTGCGGCATCGAGGACTGTATCGACGTCTTCATCCACCACCTCGGCCGCGGCGACGCCGACGAAGGGTTCATGCGTGGCGTCGCGGACACGCTTGGGAATCTGCGGGTGCGCCACCAGATCGGCAAGCGGATCAAGGCCCTGAAAGCCCGCGTCGTCGAGGAGGCCAAGCGCACCAAAAGGTACAGTCTCAGCCATGGCGTTCCCGCTCCCGCCTCCATGGCTAGGCGACTGGAATCCTCTTCGGTGGACGCTCGGCTGTCTGCGCTCTACGGCGAGGCCGCGGGTCTCGTGGGGATTGACAGGCCAAGGGACAAGATTATCGGTCTCTTGGATGACAAGGAGAAGTAGCTGAAGGAGGTGTCCATTGTTGGATTTGGAGGGTTGGGGAAGAAGTGTACCGTAAGATTGGAGGCAAGTTCCAGTGCCTTGCCTCCAGTTCCATGTCCAGTACGCCCGATATCAAAAGGCTTATGAAGGACATACTGTCTCAGATCAACCCTCATGAGTATCGCCAATCAGAAACATGGGAGAAAGAGCAATTGACTCGCAAAGTTACGGAATGCTTGCAACACAAGAGGTATCACTTTCTTCCATTCTGTCTTTAAAAAGAAACCTGTCCGTTCATTAGGAAGAATTTTGGTATGCTCGCGCGTGTGGTGTACATGTACATATCTCCATTAATATATCGTCTTACTGTGGTATCATCAACAATGACAAATGAAGTTACAAAAAGAGTTTAGTTATGAACTTATGATTGCATTCTTCATGTTTTTTTTCGGGTAAAATTTCCGATCTATTGATCAACTATCAGCGTAGCTCGTACAAAGGACACCAGAAGAAAATAATCCATGCCCATAAACCACCTAGCGACGACTACACGCACTGGAGCGAGACAAAGGCGCGCCGTCTTCATATGGCCGTCCTCATCGGAGCCGGGCAAACCTTGTTGTAGTAGATAGTCAGGAAATCGTCGCGCTAAGACCCGTAGGACAAGCGCACCAAAGCAACAACCGTCATCGATGAAGAGAAACATAGATTAGATGGATCCAACCTGTAGACACACAAACATAAACGGACGAAGGCTGGATCCACGTGGATCCACCGAAGACAAACGTCAATAGAATTCTGCGAGATCCGTCGAAGACAAACCTCCACATGCCCTCCGACAAATGCTAGTGTATTCTTCATGTTTATTCATAGGAGTATATAACATTAGACCGACATGTTTCTTTCATATATAGGGTCATAATGAAACTACAAATAATTAATAATGATGTGCAATAACAAGTTTCCAGAATATATTGTTTGGTTTCATAGATATGAATGGAACAATTAAACTAACTTGTTGAGTGCAATGATTGTTTTCCTCCAAAAGTTCATTAATGTCTTAGAAGTATTTTTTGTTACAAAGCTTGCCTACGGTAGTAGTAGTTTTGCAGATAATTTTTCTCCAGCACTACTTTTATACCATGTGAGAATATGACAAATACTTGTTTTCATAAAATTGTCTCAGGTACCTTATTGTGATTGACGATATATGGAGTACAGAAGCATGGAATAGCATTCAGTACATCTTTCCACAGAATGATCTTGGCAGTAGGATCATAACTGACTACTCGAATTGAAAATGTAGCTGCTGCTTGTTGCAATTAACGCCATGACCGTGTTTATAAGCTTGAACATCTCCACAACCAAGACTCAAGAAGATTATTTTTCAGGAGAGTTTTTGGTACAGAAGATACATGTCCTGAGCATTTTGAGAAAATTTCAGAAGAAATTTTAAAGAAATGTGGAGGTGCGCCTTTAGCCATAATAAGCATAGCTAGCCTGTTGGCTAGTCAACAAGTTATGCTGAGGACAAAATGGGAGATGGTATTGAGTTGTTTAGGCTCCATGTTGGAGGAGAACCCTGCTCTTAGATTGATGAACCATGTCCTAAACCTCAGCTATGACGATCTCCCTCATGATCTTAAGACATGCATGCTTTACTTTGTTACATTTGCTGAGGATTGTATTATTAAGAAGGACCATTTGTTGAGGCGATGCATAGCAGAAGGCTTTGTCATGGAAATAGCTGGTCAGGATCTAGAGGAAGTTGCTGAAGGATTTTTCAATGAACTGGTTAATAGGAGCATGATTCAGCCTGCTTCTTTCGGTGAGGATGGAGAGTTGACGTCTGTCCGGGTGCATGATCTAATGCTAGAGCTTATTACCTCAAAGTCCAGGCAAGAGAACTTCATCACTGCAACAATTGACCAGAACGCCAGGCCTGGGCCTTTGGAAATTCGTCGCCTCTCCCTTCACTTCAGCAATGCAGAAGATGACAATAGTGTTCTGAGAAGCATGGAACTCAGGCAAACTCGATCGCTCATCTTTTCAGGCATTGTTCAAGACATACCTTGTCTACGAAAGTTTGAACTTCTCCGGGTCATGGATCTCGATGTTAACTTTTCCAGGAATACTTCATGTGACCTGACTGGTATATGCAGACTCTTCTTACTCAGATATTTGAGGATCAGAGGTAATTCCTTAATACTGCCTGATCAAATAAGAACCCTGAAACATCTGAAGACACTGGAATTAGATGGCCACCTTCTCGATGTTCCGTCGGATGTCTTCGAGTTGAAGTCTTTGTCGCATCTGATTGTTCCTGGCAATGCTGACCTGCCTGACGGAATGGGTGATATGAGAGCTCCCCGCACTTTGCGGGCCTTGGATATTGCAGGGTGTCCCATGGATAGGCTTCGAGCTCTCGGCGAGCTAACCAATTTAAGAGATCTTCAACTAAGCTACCAGATACATAGTGGTGACAAAAAGCATGATGCAGATCGTAAGGAAGCTTTGGTAACCTCCCTGGTCAAGCTTGGAACTAGCGGCAATCTCCGATCCCTGGCTTTCTCTCATTATTCATGGTGCGTTCCAGAAGACGTACTGAGCCACTGGGAACCTGCTCCACGTAGTCTCGAGAGGCTTCATCTGTTGACGTGCCCTTTCAGTGCAGTTCCACGGTGTATTGCATACCTTGATAGCCTCACCAGTCTGCGGCTTCACGTTACCAAGCTCCGGAACGATGGGATGGAGATTTTCGGGAAGCTACCGTCCCTTGTAGACCTTCAAATTTCTGCTCTGTCGGTCCACGAACAAAGAGTCACCATCCCTGCTGGGCTGTTTCCTGCAATAAGGAACTTTGTATTCCATCATGGTAAGCCATGTCTAGATTTTGAACCAGGGGCTATGCAGAAACTCCAAAAGTTATCGCTCGAATTCAGTGCTTCTGAAGTGGAGAAGTGTGAAGATTTACCTTCTGGCATCGACCATCTAACAGGCCTCAATCAAGTGTTTGTATGTCACAGGTCCGTCTCCATAAGCTCAAATGTTATTGAGCACCATATGAAGACCATCATTGGCAAGCACGCTGGCTATCCGAGTTTTGAATTCAAAGCACGAAGCGCAATTGGAGACATTATGAGAGACTCCGGCCTGGAATAAACATTTTGGTGAGTTCAGTTTGAAAAAAAAATGTACGTGTGCTATGTACTTTGGAGTTCAATTGTAATCGATGATCTCAAAAAAGATACTTTGGTGTAATCTTATTTCGTGTAAATCACATGTTAGGTCCTGGTTTGCTTTGTTCTTACTTTTGGTAATTCCTAATAATGTGTAGCCAGTAAGGTTTTCTATCATAAGGGCATCTACAACGATGACCAACAAATTTGCTCCCCCATCTGTCCGCGGAAAAGGGGACCAATCTGCGGACACGGATGCGAAAGCCGGCTGTCCAAAGCGATCCGCATATGTCCGGTTATATTTCAAATGAAATTCAATGAAAATGGACAAACTTAATTCAAACTCAAACAAACCTGACAGTTTTTTTTTCATAAAACCGGATGATTTAGTCTGAAGGAAATTCATTACATTTAAACATTTTTCAACTAGACTAGACTCTAAACCTTGACTAAAATGACCGTGGGCACCCGTAACCCATCTCCAGCCGGCCATGAGCCCTGGAAAATGAAACCCCGCCCCTTCCGTAGTCTGCTCATCGAACCGTCAGAGAGGAAAAATAACCCCCCGCTTCCCTCGTACCTTCCCTATGTTTGGCTGCGCCGCTCATCAGAGTGGCATCCTCTTACGTGAAGGATGGATCAAGGTTGGTTTTGCGGCAGGGGACGACGGTGGCCTGAACAGAAGGCAAAACATCGATTGTGCACGCTAGCAACGTGTCGGCGGTGGCCTTCGTGGGACCCAAGCGGCGGCGGCCACCCATGATCTACCTTTCCTCACTGTCCGTGCTGACTTCTTTCTCCAAGACACACTACAAAAAAATACACTTCCGTGATGATACGTGTTTGTCACAGTAGGTCACGTTTTCTGTCATGTATGTACATCCATGACAAATTTATGACAGAATCAAGATAGTCAAACCTGTGCTGTCGTAGAAGTGTTCCATGACATTACCAAAATTATCATCATGGAAGTGTCCACTTCCATGACGATAAATCGCACGTCATAGAAGTGCTTTCGTCAAGGGTGACCGACACGTGGCATCCACCGTAATGGAACACCATTAAGCTATTGGGACCGGTTTTGGATCCGATAACCCGTTAATAGCCTGAACCAATGAGGATTTTCCACGTGTAAGATACTCATTGGCCAGAGGAAACACGTGTTTGCTCATCGTTGGGACAGATGTCATCCACTCATTGGACAGGAGGCGCCTATTATACGTCGACACGTGGCACGGCCCAACAGAGGCCCATTCCGGTGAAAAGGCCGGGCCAGGTAAAGGCCCACCATGTTTTTTCAGGCACTAGTGGGCTGGCCCATTAACAGCCTGCCATGTTTTGGGCCAAATTAAGGCCCATACCAGATCAGGCTCGTTCACAGCCTGCCGTGTTTTGGGCCAAACTACGGCCTATATCGGATCAGGCCCGTTAAAAGGCCACTGTTCTTTTGGGCCCATTCTAAGATAGGTTTGTATTTCAGCCTGTTAAATGCCCGTTTACCAGTTCGGCCCGATAATAGTTTTGGCCTGTTAGCGGCCTGTGGTGCATCTGGGACGTTGTCGCCCGGTTTAAATTTAGGCCATTTAACGGCCCATGCAGACACTGGGCTATTTCTTGTTTGAAGTAACTTTAGGCCTCTTAACGGCCCGTAGTCTTCGTGGATAAATTTCAGCCTAACTGGCCTACTGGCCTGTTAATGGCCCGTTTAACAGTTGGGCCTAATTACAACCCGCGTTGAATACGGCTTGCTTACAGCCCATCTGATAATGGCCCGTGACACTTTTAGGCCTATGGCCCGCGTAGATACCGGCCTACTTAAAGCCCATAATTTTATTGGGCCAAACGGGCCCGAGGTATATTTTGGCCTGTTAACTGCTCGTCCTATTTGGGGCAAACATGGGCATTAGGCAGTTTCGGCCTGTATTGGCCCGTGAATTTTTCGACTCAACGCTAGCCCAATCTAGGTTTTAGCCTGTTAAAAGCCCATTGTGTTCTTTGGCCCAGCTGGCCAGAACTTTACTCGGCCTGTTAAAGGTGGGAACAACCCTAAGGTTTAGACCTACTAATGGCCCAAGATGATTATAGGCCCACCTTTTGGCCCATATGAGTAACGGGCCGCCCTGAAGACCGACAACACTGAGATCCACTGAACCTTCCGGCCTAAATTACAACATACCGACCAAGAATAAACCTAGACTATACAACAAAGAAATTACAGCATATTACATCCCCTCAGCATCAAAGTCACCGCCAGTGATAATAAAGGGCAACCAAACAGCAGATTACATAAAGTGGGCAGGTCGCTGTCGTGGTTCTAAGTCTGATAGTAGAAAGGCGGGTAGGTATGGAGAGGCAAGATCTCAGCTATGGCGAAGGTGTACACTCGGAGTTTACGAGTTCAGGCCCTTCTCGGTGGAAGTAACAGCCCTACGTCTCGGTGCCCGGAGGTGGTCGATTGGATTATGTGAGTGATATTACAGGGGGTGCGAACCCTTGTGCCAGAGGAGGAGGGTGGCTTATATAGAGTTTGCCAGGACCTCTCCCGCCCTCCATTACAAGGGAGTAAATGTACATAAAGTGCTGGCGTTACTGGTAATGCCAGCCTTAAGTGCTATTAATGGCCTTAAAGACTACGAAGTGAATGTGTGTCCGTTGTACGCTGGATGACTCCTGGTCTTCGGGAGGTCGAGTGATTCTCTTGTTAGTCGAGGGACAGTAGGTAGGGAGACTCCCGAGTGACATGATGTCGAGTGGATTGCACTCGACACCTTTGGCCGGGGGTCTCACGGAGTCTCTTGACCTTCTTGCCTTCTTGGGTAGTGACCTTGGGTAGGACGTATAGGTCAGGCCTATGACCCTACCCCAGGTCTGTATCCTCATCAGTAGCCCCCGAATGGATTAAGGTATGAGTGAAAAGTAGGTTGAAGTTGAATCCGTTCCGAGCTTCATGTCTTCACGAGTATCTTCTGCGAGACTGAATGCCGGTGTCGATTCAGTCGCCTTGATCCATTCAGTGGGCTATCGATTGAACTGGTGACCTCATGTGTCGAGTGCTGTGCTGGGGCGCGGGATCCCGGGTGCGATTGTCTGCAGTGTATCCCGGATTTTGCAGGATACGAAATTTTGGGGAAGCGCGCGGGGTGGAGAGCGCCGAAACGAGCGTGCCGGATAAGTAGCGATGCCTTGATTACTGCGCCAGCTTTTTCGCCACGTACGCTGTGCGCCACTTTCCGGGATTTGACGGGATTGCTTGGTCCCACGCGTCAGTCACTTGGAGATGGCCCTTTATAAGGCGACGGGTCCGAGGCACTGGTACTGTGCACGCCTGTTCCTTCTTCTTTCTCCTCTGCTTCTCCACCACGCCCAGCTCCTCCGCTCTGGACGCCGTTGCTCTCTAGCAATGGTGAAGGACAAGACGATGGTGCTAGAGCGCGCCAAGAAGGCGACGGGGGCGGCGGAGGGCAAGAAGCAGACCCGCAGGTCGTCGTTGCGTGCGGGGCTGCTACCGGGCTGGATCTAGGGCGATTGGATTCGGTCTTCGATCCGGCTGGAGGATCTAGCTGAATTGGAGGAGTCCGGATTGATCGCCAAGGGAGATGGAGCCGCAACCTCAACCGGGTGAGTGCGTTCTGCTCGCCACCCACGTCGACCGGGGTTTCTCGCTCCCTCTGCATCCTTTCTTCCGGGGATTCTTGAACTTCTTTGGCGCTCAGCTACACCACTTTTCTCCCAACACCATCACATATTTAGCTGCATTTGTATCGATGTGCGAAAACTTCTTAGGGTGTTGACCGCACTGGGGTCTTTTCAAACACATCTTCACCATTCGTTCCCAGTTGGTAAACAAGGCAAAGTCGAGTGACTCAAAAACCCATGTCATCCAAATGTGTGGGAGTTTAGGTATCCAAAAGAGGAATAGGAGTGCCTTTCCCACCATGACTCTCCCTGAATCTGTTAGGGGTTGGCAGTCGACCTGGTTCTACTGCCAGGATGTCGCAACTCCAGGTCAGTCGACTGGTCTTCCTTCCTTCTCGTTTGACCGCGTTCAGACTCCTGCCCCACTGAAAGTAACCGCTAATGAGACCATGGAGACGAGGATGTTGGTGGATAGAGTGGTCCAGCTCATCAATGATGGTGTTACTGGCATGGACTTGTTGGAAGTGTTCCTCAGTCGTCGCATTCAACCTCTCCAATCATGCGATCATGTGGTTGTATTCTGGACCAGATGACACTTCTCGGGTCCATCCAAAAGAAGTGTCGTCTGAAACCGTAGCTTTGTGGCTGAAGGGCATCACAGGCAACCAGGACAACCCCAGAGGATCTAGGAGAGTGGTCCCCTTCAGTGGCGGAAACCCACCCGACAAGGTATACTTTTTTGTTCCGACTGCTTCCCGCTCATGCTCCGACTGTACTTGATGTTGACTGACCCTCCTTCAACCGATTTGTTCTGCAGGTGTTCACTGAGATGCATTCGATGCCCAACAGTGAACAAGCCTTAGAGCAGGACCAGGGGGGAGGACAGTGCGGAGGAGAGTGGTGAGTGGGAGTCTCCAGGAGAACATGAGGAGGAAGAGAGCGAGGAGTCGGACGAGGAGGAAGAAGTTGACTCGCCGCTGCGCTCCGAACGTCGATCCAAACAGCAGCAAGATCCGGCTGGCGGGCGCGGGAAAAGCGTGGGTCCGAGTGCCAATACTCAGAAGCGCACTCAGACGTCGACTCCGGAGCCGACGGAGAAAGTGGCCAAGCAGCCTAAAGTTGCTCCCCCAAGGCTCAGAAGACATTGCCGCGAATCAAGATGGACGTCCCCGTTGCCTCAGGGTGAGTATCTCGCTTGTGTTATCGTAGGTCGACTGAAGATTTTCTTGATCTGACAGACCAATTCATGTGTCCTTCCAGCCCCACCTCTGCTGCCACTAACATGGACATTGACAAGGCACCAGGAGACGAAGAGGCCACCTCACGAGCTGGTAAGTTCGTTCAACC